GGCATTGCAATTTGTATATTCAGCAGTGCGATAAAATAATTGTAGCAGTACAGATTGCATGACTTTGACGCCTCTTACGTGACAGGTTGCTTCCGATCGTTATTAGTCATCCTCAGTTTATCATACTTGAACGTTTGTTATCCGAAAAATCGCTCGATTATCAGTAAAAGTGGTTTCGTAAAGACATTATGATTTTTTTTTTTAAAAAAGTCAACTTCGAAGTGAAATTTTTATTTAACTATCTAATATTACATACATTTATATACATAAAAATCTTACTGCTGTTGATGGAGATTGTTTAAAAATACAAGATAAACCGGTTACCAAGAAACCTCCACGAAATAAAAACTCGAATATATTTCTCAACAACAATCGTATCTCCCTGATAGGAATTCCGTTGTCGATCTGTTTATCAACTCACTACAAATTGCAATTGTCATTATAAAAAAGCAGCTACTCAATGTTTAGGTGTTCCTTGTTGACCTTTAAAGCGGATCGAGTCTACACTTCTTTTAATTTATGTCAAAACCCTGGAATTCCACGTTGTTAATCTCACAGATCAACTGTTCCTAATTTACAAAAACGTTGTTTATCGGTTAGATTATCAGAATCGATCCCGTAATGCCTGAGATAAACGTAAAATACTAACGCATACGAGTGAAAACCAAAGAAAATGAAGGTTGCCCGCTCACGTACGGATCGTGACGCGAATCCCAATACGAGCTTTCAACGAAAGGGTTCAGAGGGAAGAGTTCCGTTCTAGGTTCGATGGGAAGCATCGTTGGATCGCGTCAAACATTTACTACCTACTTTCATTATCGGGGAACGATTGTAAATGACGTGTCGTCCCAGATAACCATTATCATCGACTCGTTCTGAAATGTCATAACAAAAGCAATCGTGGCTTTAAATACGTGCGAGTCGACAAATTTTAAACTCTTCACTGCTTTGAAGTGTCTGTATAGAATACTAGAATGTGTGAATAATCTTCTGATTTTTGTGTAGAAATTGTCGATTATATTATGCAAAATAATAATAATATTCGTTATTACACTTACTACAGATAGATTAACCCTTGGACTGCTATGACTAGGTCAACTTTGACCCTGATTTTCAAAAACTTCGTCCATCTTCTGATAATTAATTTGAGTCAGTATTTATAATTAATTGCAATGAAATTTCAGAGAATTCACAAAGAAATTCGTTAAAAAATGCATTTAGAAGGAATAAAGGTCCAAAAGGACCCACGCTCCTCTATTTCTGTTACCATTAAAACCTTCTAAGGGTTACGAACAAAAAAACGATAGCGTACAAATTAAAAAGAAGGAAACAGTATTTGTTTAGTTACAAGTACTAAATACTGCATAAAGTAAGGGCAGAGGACTAGGTTCAGCATAGACGTGAGCGCTGTTATAATATCTAAGCCTGATGAAAATTAATCTAGATGCACATTAGTACAAAAAATGTAAAAAAAGGAGATTGTAGGAACAACAGAAAATTATCACAGACATCAACAAAAAGTAACTTGACAAACACAGAACTTACACTTCAACGGTAGAATTGCTTGAAATGAAAAAAAGAAGAATAGAACATTACCTCTGAATGTCAAAACAAATTGTACTTTACATCGAAACTATTGCTCCGTTTCGTTCATCTCGGGGATTGCTGTTACTTTTGTGACACCCTCTATATTAAGATCGTCAAAGGGTCTGGAGTATGAGGAAGAGTATTACTAATTCCCAAATGAACTTACACTTCAACGGTAGAATTGCTTGAAATGAAAAAAAGAAGAATAGAACATTACCTCTGTACTTTACATCGAAACTATTGCTCCGTTTCGTTCATCTCGAGGATTGCTGTTACTTTTGTGACACCCTCTATATTAAGATCGTGAAAGGGTCTGGAGTATGAGGAAGAGTATTACTAATTCCCAATGAAATAAATATTGAAGGTAAAGGAGAAAATAGGGAGTCGGTTCATTCAATAACAAGATCCTTGCAACGCTCGATCTTACGAATGTAGAAGCGAATCAGAGATCCAAGGTTGCAGTCGGTTACATCAACCTCAGCGCGCAACCGGTCGCAAGTTTCCATTTCGCGAGTACATTCGATTCGGAGAAATAAGCCTAGCTCGTGAGACGAATACCGGTCCCGTTGATGAACGTCTCACGAAGATGTCAGACGTTTCCTCGCGGCAGTATGTCGTTACCGGTCCCCTTGTTTAACAGTGGAACTACCAACGTTGAACGTGTACTGAATTAAATTGTGTAATACATAATACGATGTAAGATAGTATAACGCGATATAAAATTATAATGAATCAGAGGTCAACGGAAATTCAGGAAAGCATCTTTGTGGTTCCAATAATTGTAAAGTGAGAAATCTGAATCCGCCATTTTGACAGGTTTGGTAGTTTTAGTAACTACGAAAGCAACTTTTATGATACCAGTAATTGTAAAATAAGGAATTTGAAATCCATCACTATGATGGTTTTGGCAGTTCTAGTAACTATTAATGCAACTTTTATGATACTAGTAATTCTAGAATAAGGAATTTGAAATCCATCATTTTGATGGGTTTGGTAATCTAGTGACTATGAAAGTACTTTTATGATTTTAGTAATTATAAAATAGGAAATCTAAACTCCATTATTTTTACGGACTTGGCAGTTCTACTAACTCCAAAACCACGTTTATAATTCTATTAATTCTTAAATAAGGGATCTCAAATCCAGCATTTTTACGGGTTTGGTAATTCTCGTGTTAAAACCCTAACGACGTCGCTTTCGTTTCCAAAACAGGGATAGACATACGTCTGGTGGATGTACAAGGGCTTGTTTATTACGAATAACAAGACACACGGCTCGTTAAAAATCAGAGGGCAGACGGCGTCGACCGGAGAAAGGAGGAAATGTCGTCGTTACGTGTTCAGCGCCGGGCCCTACGACCTCCACTCGAAGAAATGTCCCTCCGAGTGATCGCGTGGTGAATCCTAATCGGCTACAGTGACCACTTTTTTGTAAATGTATCACGTACACGCGAAGTTTTCGGGCCAAGGATTAAAAGGGGTTTCGGGGATGTTGAAAGAGCTCCTCGGTCTCTTTGTGTTTTACGTTTATTTTATTGCTTGTGTTACAAATTGCGGAGGAAAAAGAAGTCGCCCGATCGAGGATGTAACCGGGAATCGAACCTGGATCTCGTCCGACGACTGTCTTGATTAAGTAATTGTAAATTATTCGGGCTACCGGCGATTTTTCTTGTTCTAATTAATTCAAGTAATGCAAACAAAGATGGCTGTCCTGCTCTACCGGTAATAATAAATAAAATCGGTACTGAACAAATACGGCTGTTCTCAGTAAAATTTAACTTTGGATAATTCGAATAATACGTGAGAGGAATTTTTAAAAAATCTACCACCAGAATTTTATTTCCGTAGTCCAACCGCCACTAACACCACGACAGAGATGGGCAAACTCATAATCTAGATAAAAAGTTTCGACTAACGCATAAAAGATAAAAAAAAGTATTTCGTCATTCTTAATCGTTTAAACGTGGAAATTTCAATTTTTATAATAAAATAATACTTCTTTATGAATAAATCGACATTCGTCGAACAATTATTTAATCTGATTAACTGTTTAAAGCTCAGGACGGCACCCTTAAATACTGCAGCCTTTCACTGTGTATTATTCGAATAAAATTCTGACCAACCCTACACCACGAACAATCCCCACTTAAAATTCTCTACACCGAGGGGGTTGAAGCCAACCCCCAACCACCTCATTCACCGGAAATAACCTAAAATATCTCAATCTCGAAGTGAACTCGCGAAAGGGCCTCGTCGAACAATTAAACTTCGCGGTAGCGACAGTCGGACGAAGAGGACGCGTTACCGTCAGACCAGAAATCCGGGATACGAAATTAGCCACGTCAGGGAAGGGGAGGGAGCGTTGGAAATCGTGCTTAAAGCTCGACCACGAGACGCAGGCCCGTGATTCTTTCTCTCTCCACCTCTTTCTTTTCGTCAATTACGGAGGGGTGGGCCGGAATTCGTCGAAACTAATTAGTTTTCCGCGCGACGTGAACCCGGCTGCAGCTTCCTCGAGTTCTTTAGCAGTTTATTAGAAGCGAGAACCGCGGCAGATTTCGTCGGAGAGTAATTGACAACGATCGCCATGGGGACAAGCAAATATGGAGGGGGACGAAAAGACGCGACGGCGTACGACAGGATTCGAGGCGGATCGCCGCGAGTTTAACGAACGACTAATGAAATTACACGGGTTCTGAGAATTTTATGGGACACGCTGGGGAGGATACGAGCGATTCTGTAATAATTGATTACGTCTTTGTATCTGCCGGGGACTGTTTGACCGATGGTATCGCGGATTAAGTCGTGGATTGCCGACAATTTTTGAGGAATTAATACAGGGAATTGTTGAGAATGGGAGGGGCAGAGTTGGGTGGAATTTTATTAGAATAATACACTGTGAAAAGGAGCAGTATCTAAGAGTTCTGTTATGTTGAGTACCTTTTGATTAAGAAATAATGTTATGTTGATTCTGTGTAATTATTAGATAGTTCTAATTATTTTTTGTCTTTCATTGCGCATAATTCTGTTTAATCTATCTGTGGTACAATTTTCCCCCAACGTTGTTAACTTTTATCCCAAAATGAGGCAAAAAATAACAGTCCAGCTCGGTCAAATTTTAATATTTTTATTTTATACTTTTGTTTACAATTAGTTAGGTCACTGTGATAAAAAATATAAAAATTTGAAAAAGTCTCTAAAAAGTCCTGCAAAATATACTGCGAAGTTTAGGAAACGACGTTGTTACGAACAGTCAATTTTCTACCGACATCCATCAATCACGAACCTATTAACGCTCTAACAGTCAATCGAGATTTTCCCATTTCAATTTGCTTGTTTCGCAGACTGCGTGAACTAAATGGCTTCGTGATGCTTTTTGTTCCAGGATCGTGAAAATGCTGCTCTAACCAGTGAAACCGACACGTTGACGGAAAATGGCTTTGACCGTCGTGCCCTCGGCCCGCGTTTTCAATGGAAACGGTGAGTCAATAAATTTCACTGCTTTGAAAGATAATAAAACGCAGTCTCTTTTTAACTGGACGAATTCTGTCCTGCAAATAGTTTCCACTGCATTCAACAGTCTTTTCCAAATGTATATTCTTTTGTACATACTTTTATCCAGTACATGATCATTTTGGTTCATTTATTTTACATTAGTAAATATTCGGCAATTTATGACACAAGTTAGTAAAGATTAAAAATTTTCTAAATTATAACTTCTCTAAATATTATATAATAATTATATAATACATATGTAATTTCTCATATACAGACTCATAAATTTAAGAAAGGGAAAAGGAAACTGTAATTATTTTTTAATCAACCTAGTAACGCTTACAAAATACACTGTTTCACGCCGACATAAAGACGCAAAACATTCGTGTTTATTAATTCGAATTTGAAACGATCACCATGAGGCCTGATTCGATGTTATAGAGCAAGGGGTTAAGTCATCGCCTCGCAGGTCACGATAATGTGAACGGCCCTATAGTATGACGCGTAAACCGTGATCCCCACGCTGTCCCGGCTAACGAACTTTGCCAGATTATTATTACCGTGCCTCTGGATGGTCGCCAATGGTTACAACATATTTCGGTTTACGCTGAGCGCCGGTCGTTACCCTCGAACAATCAGCCGCTCGGGATGAACCACAATCGATCCAACCCTCCAAAGATAGATCCTTTCTCTGTGGTCCATCGAAGAAAGACGAGCCCACTTTTCGCTCTTTTATGGTTCAAACTCAGAATAATACAGTTATAATTGTCCTTTCTTTGGACACATTCATCGTTCAAAGAATTCATAAATTAGATATTGTTCTCCAATTTGCAGCCTGATTTTTAGTGATGGCTATTTGGAAATGTCTTGACATCTTGATTAGAAACTTCATTTTAATACACTTTTAAAAGTTACAAGACGCTATGAATAAATAAACAGTTACAGACTATTTATAAGCTATTTAACTATGGTCACAGAAAAATGAGTATTTGTAATGCAACTGTTTATGATCCCAAAAATAAATAGACGGTGGATTTTATGCATTTATACTATTTATGGCCGTGAGATGCATTAAAAAAGAATACTTTCGTCATATGTAACAAATTTTCTGTTTTATTCTGAACTCCATAAAAAAAATTAATTCCTATATTTGGTCTTGTCTGGATGAATCACTTTATAAAATGTGATTTTGCATAAAAATCCATAGTGTAATAATACATTCGGTTATTCTTTGTGGAAAGTATTCATTGAATATCATACGTTTCTACCATAAACCGCATAAAAACATGCAGTTTAATTATATAAGAAGTGTATTAAATTACCATAGAGTAAATCAAAGATTGATTAAAATATATATTTTTTTTTTATATTTGAATCCACTTGGGTTCAAACAAAATTTGGCAGACCCATTTTCGTTTACAGCAAAACGATGCTAATCGATTAATGGATCGTTCGAGGGTATGATTAATCGTGGTAATTAATCTGTTGTTTATGATGCACAGTGGGAACGCAGGCATTCGTCGTTCGACGGGATTCCGTGATGATTAATTTGTCGTTTGTGATGCACAGTGGGGACGCAGGCTTACGTTTCCGGATCCACGGGATCCACGTGTCTCTGCTGCCCTTACGGGTACCACATCGACCTGGATTTCGTGCGATACTGCGAGGCGGTGGCGGCAGGAAGCACCGGGGACAGGTCCAGCATCGAGAGACGGAGGAAAAGGGAACGTCGAAAGCAATGCCAATCGATGGAGGTTCTCCTGGGCCTGGTAATTGATCCCTCGATTCCATAATTAAACATTTCTAACCGAGTGGCTTGTTACTGGATTTCGTTTTCTTAGCGAGCATTAATTATGATACTCGTCGTTATCTGGCTCGTTATAAAATCGCTGCTTCGCTGCTCTTCCGCTCCGTTAAATATTATCTTCGCAAAGGTAGTTCTGACGTGTCTTGAAGGATCCTAACAGTACTTGTTTCAGCCTTTTATTGTTGGGTGCGTGAATCAGTTATTTTCAATGTAAGCATGGGAATAATTCATTGTTAATTCATAATTGTTATATCTATGCTTCCTATAATATGTTCTCGTGGAAAAAGTGCTGTGAGAACGTGTACTCTTGACTGACAGAGCACAGCTGATGGATTTATTAGACAACAGATTTACTGAAAAACTGCTGAGGGATGTTCACGAAATGTTCATATTTTTCTGTAACTTTATTCAATTGTTTATGAGATCAACCTAAGAATTTTACCGTACTTGGTGGGTGATACTTAAATTCCTTTACTTATTCGATTATAACTCATAAACTACAAAAGATTTCGAAAGCTAGTTTAGATACATTTTGTATCGTTTTTAGGGATACATATATCGGTAGGAAAAAATGTTCAAAATGGATATCGCCTGAAATTGAAACCGAATATAAAAAGTGCCGCGTAAACGAAGTGGATAACACCTGTGTAACACCGTGACCACAAACAAAAAGTACCGCCCGAATTGATGAGAACAGGTGCAGCTCCCTTATGGCATAAAAATTAATGGATTAGTCATTGATACACCTAACGTAAACGCACCTGGCCACCAAATACAAAATTTGCCAAAATTGCAGTTCCATATTTATTATTAATTTTATTATTAATTATCGAAGCGTTAAATCTTCGATATTTAAACAGTTAAAACATTTAACAATTGGTACTTTCCAAATATTCAAAGTTATTCAATTTTTATATTACATGCGTAGCAAAAACCATATTTACTTAATTCTTAACAAAAATACCACAAGTAGCCGGTCGTCATAGTTAAACTCCGGAAATTTATAGAAATTCACAATTTCGGAAGCTAGTATCTAAACATTAACATGAAGCAGAATTTTCAATTTTGTACTAGAAGGAATTACTACGTTAATAATAATATATAAATAGTATTAAATTCATTAAAATCTTTATTTTATTACATTTTCCAAGAGATGGTATAACTGCATAAAGATTCGTAGTCTTGTCATAATGTTGGAGTTAGAGAAGAAGAGTCGTCGACCTCGTGTAGAGCGTTGCAGAGAAAGGGTTTAAGCGAAACAGACAACAAGCACAACAAACAGTTGTCGAAGATCGACAGCTGTCGACGAAGGTTAACCGCTAAATTCCCTCGTATTTTTAATCCTAGGTGAGCCCGGCCCTCGCAGGAATAGAGGCCGAACTGCCGAAAATACCGCAAGAACCTGTCACGACGAACGGAGTGGCGACTTTACCGAGGTCGAGCTACGAACGGCAAGGGTACACACAGGAATCGCAGGCCCTCGACCTCAGCGACGTCGTGGGCGATTTCGAGGCGACCCTCAGACGGTCGAGGGCGAAGACCATCGATAGACAGGATCGCACCGAGAACGGTGAGTTAGCATTTTTATGTTCAGCACGTTTATTGTTGTATATGTTATGTTTATATTTATAGTCCTCGCCAAGACACATAGCGCGGTCGTAAAATTGTTCGAGCGGAAAAAGACACACATTTCGAGCGTCGGAACATCCATTTAAAAGATCAAAGGGGATATAAGACGCTCGAGTCACATTTATTTTAAAATTTCTAATTTCAAAGTTTCAAAATTCAGAACTTGCAGTATCACAATTCACAATTTCAAATTTACAATTTCATAGTTCAAAATTTCATGTATCAAACTTTCACAGTTCAATCTTTCATAGTTCAAAATGTCATAATTTAAAATTTCATAGTTAACAATTTCATAGTTCAAAATTTCATAGTTGTAAGGTTTATAGTTCAAAGTTTCATAATTCAAACTTTCAAAGTTCAAAGTTTCATAGTTCAAAATTCCGTAATTTAAAATTTCATGGTTCAAAATTTCATAATTCAAAATTTTGCAGTTCAAAAGTTCATAGCTGAAAAATTCATAATTCAATATTTCATAATTGAAAAATTAAAAGTTCTGAAGTATCATACCGTTTGAAAGTAAAAAATTTCGAACTTTAGTTCAAGACATCTTTGTCTACAGAAGATAATATTGCCAGAAATCTAGGATACAAATCTCAATGTACCACCCCGTATATTCGCACTGTAAACATAAATACGTAATTTCACGCACCTGTGTTGGCCAATTTCACGTGCACTACTTCAATACGGTCGCGTGAAGTCTCTTCCACCAGGTGCATAATCAAACACAACAGAGTCTAACAAGTAAAAACCTGAAATTTACAATTTCTACAGTACATCCCACGTGTTCCATCCAGTTACTCGTGCCTCATCCGTGTTCAAAGTCATTAAGAAATGAAAAGACCATTCTACGCCATTGTGGCGTTGTCCATTGACGAAGGCACGAACAGTTTGGCGGGACACATGGTGCGCTGTGCAGGTTCGTAAACTTCGGGGTTCTTACCTGGAACACAGCATTATATTTGACTGTACACGTGTTGCACAGTGTCTGTAGAGAATAATGAAGGGTGTAATGGGGCCACGGCAGGGGGATGTGTCGCCATGGAAAAGCAATTGAAAGATATTTTAACAACAACCGGTCGTCTTAATGGGTAGTAAGAATCCACCTTAATGTCTCTGTGAAGTTGTGCCATCGGGAGGCAGTGATTGGACAGCGGGGGCTAAGGGTCGGTCGGGTTGCTTGCACCTACTGACAATTATGGTCACCCATAAACTCGTCTTAACAGTTTACAATGCCCCGAAGTACTTAAATCACATGGTGAGGATTGGGAGCTGTTAACGACGTTACCCCCTAGTGTTTTAGTGTACCAGAAATATTACATATGTCGAGATTATTATTTATTAACACGTTGCATGACAGTCATGTTACCGAGTAATTAATTCGAATCATAATAATTAGTATGATAATTATGGAGTCGTCAGATATCGATAATCGGTACTTGACCTGCCTATGGCGTCATGATGGATATTAACGACTAGACGTATGATTATGCATTTAATAGTACTTCTTAACTTGCAAAACATAAGAAAATAAAAAGTTAAAGGAGCGTGGAGAATATTTATGTGCTATTACTAACATGATGAAACCATCTAGTGCAGGAAATAATTTTCTGGATAATTCTTATTTTTTTAAAGTGGCATCTAAAACTGAATTTGCATGAGCAGGGGCAATAGTGATGACCATTGATGTCAAAGATAATTAAAACGTTTACATTAAATAGTCTTTGATATTTGTAAATTTTACAGTATTATCAATTTTGGAACATTACCTGGTTATCCTGAGGAAATTAAATGTGTAGAGTATAACACGGCTACGTTAAAAAAATTTACGTTTACTTCGTATAACGAAGTCGTAGGATTAATAAAAAATGATTTCTATTCCCAAAATACACACCTGTTCATCAGCGATGATATACCTTTTTTTACGAAAATGTAACGTTTCATCCAGATTGCATATTTCTTGCACTATTTCTATTAGGATTAATATTGTCTATTTAATATTTATTCAAGACATTTAACACATTCTCTACCGCCATTAATATTAATTAATAATTTAATTTTCTATGTTTAATATGAATAACATCCTGATTAATATTTCATACAGTACAATTTTCCTCCTCAGCACGATTTTCGTGTGTCTTATTCACAATACAAAATTGAAGTCTTCAACACAATAAACATATAACAATGAAATATTGTATAAAATAATAGAATCGATCAGTGTCATTGTAATTCATGCATTTACCACACCGAAAGACACCAATTCACCTCAAAACGGTATTACTGTAATTTCGACATCGGCGATCATCAATTTCTTTTCGTTCGATTTCATTTCGCTAATTTTCTCTTTGCTGTCGAGACAACAGGATAATTACGGTAACTTTTACGCAAGGGAAAAGGAATCGTGACGCGCTGCGGCAGCGTGCCTGATCGTAGATTAATTCCAGCGGTGAAAGAACGATGAAAAAAAAAAAAAATAGAGATCCGATAATTTCACGCACATTTGATTTCCTCGCGCTGAATCCGCTGCCCGGCCATCATTGGATTCTCTATGGCCCAATGACCTGCTATACAATAATTCCGTAAAGAGAAATGCTTCCCTACGCTTTTCAACAGACATTTCACCGAAACGAACGGATTGCATTCTCTTTGTCCCGTAAAAACGAGGAATCCTTAATATTGTCTAGGATTTTCCATAATTAACGAAGTGCTCGACGTGTAAAAAATTTCAGTCTGTGGAGTCTTGTTAGTAAATGGTAATGCTTTCTTTGGGTTGTTGCACGTGAAATGATCGTTTTATTACCTGCACTTGATATTACATATGTTGAATATTTTACGAATTTTATTAGATGAAGTGAGATTAAATAGACTCTACACACGATTTTCATTGAAATACAAGTGGTATATTCATTATGTAATTATTGTACTGAATTTGAAGATTGAAGTGAGATTAAATAGACTCTACACACGATTTTCATTGAAATACAAGTGGTATATTCATTATACTGTTAAATACACTGACTGTTCAAAGACACTTTTAGCTGGCCTCTTTCCGTCAAATGTTGTCATCGCTAAATAGTATTTTTTAGCAGAAACTTGCGTGCATCGTGAAGTTTATTTATAAACGCTTGAATGTCCACCTTTTAATGCATGTGGACGAAATGGCCGAATTTAACTGAGACTTATTCTGTACTTTAATTAACCTTAGTGTTTATCATAATTGATATTATTTTGATGTTATATTGTGCCTTGAAACTAGTAGAGTATATTGTGTAATTTTGCAATAAAGTAAAGCAGGTATGTTCATTATTTTCATTCATAAAAGTAACCGCAGATATACCTATCGTTAAAATCGACCATTTCACGTGCAACGACTTAATAGACAACGCTTAATTAATGTTCTCGCCGGTAATTTAAGTAATTAATTATTCTCATTATCATAGTTTTTAATTGTAATTGAATCTACGTTTATGGCATGTAAATATAATTCAACTTTATTATAGTGTTAATTCTACTGGCACAGGTAAAGAATTGCTATAAATGCCTAAACGTCTGCGGTATACATACTCATAAATAACTTCCATGTTGCAGTAGACACATTGCATTTTTCATGCTCATAAATAACTTCCACTTTTACGGTACAGACGCCGTATTTTTCACGAAAGGAACACACAAGACTGTAGTACATATTAGACCGAGTAAAAAGAATTGAAATTGAGCTTTATTAATACTGAAAAGTCTGTAATATTCTCATTTAATTCGTTGGTTATAAAGAACTTTCTTTTCAAAAGTGATGTCAGTCCACGATACTTTTCGATTAACGTTAATCTACTGCTCGTTCTCAATTATTATTAAACTGAGTAAGTCTGATTTGATTAAAATTTTTTCATTGTCACTGATATTTAATTACCATTCAGTGAATTTTCAATATTTATGAGTCAACCTAATATTTCAGAATAGAATCAATTTCAAATACTACACCTGATGTCGAACGTGTTCAGGTTGATGAATAATATCGAAAAATTGCAGTGATATGATCGACGTGCTCCAATTGGTAACGAATAGACTGCAGAAATTTACTTATTGCACTGAAGGTTCTATTAGGTCTCACAAAAAATGATAATTTTACTAAAATATATTGAATCTCTTAATATAATGAATTTCTGACAACAGATTCCCATATAAATGCATAAAATCCACAATCGGGTAATGACTATACCACAGAGGTTCATGCAAATATCCAATTTCACAGGCTACTGCAAAAATATCAGTTACAGGAAAATTCATTTGTGTAACAAGGATTTATTCAGTCAAAAGTATAACAAACATTTAATTACTTTTTATATAAATACATAAAAAATCCGGAATTTAGTAATCAGAATAAAAAATATTAAATTTCAATGTGCCCAAATGCTTCCTCTAAGCTGTCCTTATTTAGCACTTAAATTAAAAGTCAACATAAATTCCGACGCAATCACCTTTATGATTTTAATGAAAGCACCTTCATGATTTTAATGAAAGCACCTTCATGATTTTAATAAAAGCACCTATATAATTTTAATAAAAAAACCTTTATGATCTCAGTAATTATAAAATAAACAATTTCATATCCGTCCCTTTTTTTGATTGGATTGGTTGTTCCAGATTCCTTATAAAAGATTGGAAAATCAGTGGACGCAACGTTCGTTTAATTCGCGACTAGCTATCGACCACGCGCCATTGCAACGATAACGCAACGAATCGCGTAATTATACCCGGAATATGAAAATTTCTCCGTGATGGTTGCATATTCCCGTCGGATACGCCGCTTCCGGGTTTTCGACGCCTTCGAGCGGATAGAACCAGATCGTCTATTTCATTAGCCTTTTAACGGGCCAGTAGAGATTCCCTCGTCGTGCTGAATTTTTCCCTCTCGACGCTGGTAACATAATTTATTATATAATT